AATACTTTCATTTTAAAAAGAGAAAAATGTGTTTTTTTTCATATGTTTTTAATCTTGTATAATTTAGATCTGGTTTTTAAACTGTACAATGTGACCCTTATACTCACCAAATCGTACAATTAAAGAAGGTTTTTCATATGATTCTCACAGCATATAATGTTGAATAAAAATAAACTTATTTTAAATTTAATTTTTAATTCCTAATATCTCAAACTAGTTCTTTTTATTTTAGTAACAAGAAAAAGATTGATGATGAAAATGAGACAAGTTGACAAACATTCATTTATTATTCTATTAAAGCCAACAAACAACCATGCAATCAAAGGTTCCAATAACTCCATAGGAGTAGAAAGGTATGGGATCTCTTCTAGCTAGTTCAAACCCAATCCTCCACTCATTCAATGCATAACCAACTCTGTCTCAATAAACTTAATGGTTAATTTCTTTTATCTAACAATAGTTAATAGTGAGATTAAATATCTTAATAAGAAAAAAATTTATCTGTACAATTTAAAAAATGAAGATCTAAATTATACAAGATCAAAAGTATATGAAAATAAAGGATTTTTCTTCTTTTTAAAATTAGAGTATTTTTGTCCGACTAATTATCCATGTGAAAAGCACACAAAAAGTAAATAATTAGATTGGATGTCGCAGTATTAGAAGAGTTTGTTCACATAGTTTAAATTGCATATAACAACAAATATAAGAGGAGTAAAATGAACTTTTTTCTTTAAATTATACCAAAAATGACCAAAAAAAAAACATAATTACACCTTTAGAGTTTTTTTTTTAATATATTTTTCTATTTTTAAAATAAAAAAAATTGTTAATGTAAATTTTAAAAATAATAAATTTTTCAGTCTTTAAAACTAAAAAACAGAATTACTACTAATGTGTTTTTGCTTTTATTTTCTATTTTCTTCTTAAAATTAATGAAAGTTCAACTAAAAATAATTTTTAAAATTAAATTACCCAATAAATTTTATTTTTATTTTTTCCTAAAAATATTTTTATAAAATTATTTTAAAATGTAATTTTTAAAAACTAAATCAAATAAGCTCTGGTCTCTAGTTTTCAATATTGATAATTTTAATTTTTTAATTTATTTTTTAATTTTTTAATTATTTTAAATAAGTCCATCACCTAAAAATTTATTCCAATGACCAACAAAAGTGTATAAAAATTAAATAGATTAATGATAAAAAAATATAAAAGAAACTAAAAAAAAATGATCTTTACAAGGTAAACATTTTATATAAATTATTTATATTAGTTTATACAAATCAATGACACATCATACATATAGTATACTTATATTCTTATGAAGATGATAAGAAATGTCACTTGATACTATATAAAAATGTCATCTAACGATAGAAAATACAAAAAAAGAGTCTTGTATAAGAATTAAAAGACCATTTAAATCTAGTAGATAATGCGTTGGATAATATTTTGTCAAATAGATGATAAAATTGAAAATAGATTTATAAATTTTTTATCTAGAAAGACTAAAGTACAAAAAATATTTTGTATATAGATTAAAAAATAATTTAAACCTAAAATAAATTTACCAATATACTAAAGATGTAGAAAGAAAATGTTAAAAAAAAAAAACACAGATAAGACTAGTTTAGCCACTTATAGACTACATCAAAGTATTTATTTATCTACATGTGTCTATTTATACTTAAAAAAATTAATTTTTAGAGTTGATTTTAAATAACTAAAAATAATAGTTTTTTATTAAAAAATATTTATTACATTGAAAATATAAAATTATGATAAATATTCATTTTTCTAATGAAATTTACAATTTTAATTATTTAAATAATTTTTCTTATGTATGTTGAAAGCACACAGTAAGAACGTATAAACAAAAATTTTAATTGAAAATCATAGAATCTCATGTATTAATAACATGGACTAACTAGATATGGGTTTTATAATGTCAACATTGAAAAAGGAATATTTCATTAGCTTTTCTAATTTCTTTTGTAATTTACGGGTTTGCCCCTTCTACTGAACTAATAAATTTCTTTTTCCTTTTAAAAAACTATATATATAAAAATTAGACACTGGTCTCTATTTCAAACTCCCTTAAATATTGTGTTAGATAAGGCATCTTTAGTTAGATAACATGAAGGAACGTGATAATATTTTCATGGAATTCAATGATTCCTGCAAGTACATAATTTTCATTGTGAAGATTAAACATGGGAATGTGAAAATAAAATTTTTTTCCCTTAAAAAATTGCAGCATTCTATAAACATTGGAATGCAATTCATTTGCAATGTAAGACCAAAAATTAGTTAAAGTTTGCAATTTCACGTGACAATCCAATTAGAGTTTTATCTCATAGTTGCTGATTCTTCATTAACTTTGCCTAATATAAAAAGATTATTGTTATTATTATTTATGCTAAACAAAATATGATTTTTTAGGCCTTTTATGTCAAATATTTCATACTAAAGAGTCAAAAATGGAAAAACAGCGATGAGACAAGTAAGAAACCAATGGTTCATGAAACTGAAACTTCTTTTTTCTTAAAAATAAAATAAAATATTTCAAGTAAGGTAACTGGTTCATAAAAAATGTATAATATTTATGTTCATATGTTAACCAATTTCGCTTTGCAGTTTAAGATCAGACTGGAAAGTCCACTAACAAAACAGGCCATGTTCAAATAAATCTAGCTTCTTCTAAATGAAAACAAAATAGATTCTTCATCTGACCTATAACAACACAAAAATTTGCATCTAAAACAATCTTCACATGCAACTTTGTTTCTTCAGCCTATTGCAAAAGTATATGTAAAAGGGAAAAACTTGTTAACTACACAGTCACTACAATTGCAAAATTAAAGGTTTCAACGTAATTTTTTATACAGCATTACAACTCGATCCGAATCGTCCAAATTGAGCTGTTTCAGTTTTTAGTTCTTCTGTAAAATGCCATCCCATATAAGATTCTCATATCTTTGTTCTCATTAAACACTAAAACACAAGTTAAACATGACATACACATTACAAAGGAAAAAAAAAAGGATAAAGGAGTTTTCCAGTCCCTCTAAATATCATACTATGCCAAATGGAAGTCACATCTAATAAATTCTGACTAAAATGTATGCTAAAAGACTGGCATTTCATTCTATCCAAGTAAGTAGTCCTTAATCAGTAAATAAAGCACGCTTACATCGGCACTCCTTTAGACTAAAACCTAGTAAAATAATATTAACAAAAAATTGTATGGTATCAAGACACACCTTATGCTCCTAAAAAAATTACTTAAAAAACCTACTCAAGAACTGCAAAGAAAAACAGAACGCACATTTAGTTAGAATTATAAGGCCTTGTGTGCAGTTATATTAAAAGCATATCAAATATCACCAATAAATATATATATTTATAATATAAATAAAAAGGGTAGGAAATAAAGATCAAGTGGAAAACCATAATATAATAAAGCAAAAGGTTTTTTTTTCCTGGTCAAAGGAGCAGATATTATTAATCAGAAATCAAGAAAATACATATGCTAACACAAAGGGAGATCACAAAAGAAGTCGCTTTCTCAATCCAAATGCAGTCAAGGTAAACAAAAGCTGATTCAGCTACTTAATCAACTAAAGAATCAAAATTTCTTCTAAAGCGCATTTAATTAGAGAAATGAGGATGAGAGATTGAATATCTACAATCTTCAACTATTCTGAAAATATGAGGCAGGGCTTTCTGTCTTGGACCATGCTTGAGCAAGGAGTAAGCAATTCGTCTTAGAAACCAAGTATAGAAAACCGGGATGTTTGGCCAGTTAAAGGGCCCATCTAAAGCATAAAGCTTCAGCAATGTGAACCTGTGGCGCGCTGTCCCCTTTCTTACATAATGAAGCAAACAATTGATTAGATATTTCGTATATACAACCAGCCATGTTAAGCAAAGTCAATCAGTGTTTCGTAAACATTCCTTGTGTTAAGGATGAAAAATCATAATCCTTTCTGGTCTGTGTAGTGGTTGATGATACCAGAGCTAGCTACTGAGGCTTATTCACTTCTGTTGTCATCATAACTTTAACTAGAGCAATTACACTAAATGACAAATCAGTTAACTGCAGAAAATGAGCATAAATAAAGAGAATAGAAAAAATAATCCACCAAAACATTATGCCTAACTTAAAATTCTGCTCACCAAATCGAACCTAGCCTGTTTCAACAACCCCTTTAACAGAACACACAATAGAAGCAGCTCAAAGATCTTATCAAGCAGCCAGAAGGTTAATTGAATGTTCACTATTTCCAACAAAATCCTGGTATGGTACTTAAAAATTAACATAGGACTGTTTCTGGAATCTGAAGAGGATAAATAACTGTCATATGTTACATGAATAGTGGAACAGCAAAGAAGGGTATAGCTACCCTCTCAACTTCAGGGTACTAGAGAAATCACCAAACTGAATCTAGCTTCAATGAAAAGGACAAATTTCATGGATGATATTGACAATAGTGACAAAAATCAAGAATACAAGATTTTTCTATAGATCATTTGCATGACGGCTCCATAGTATGTTGTTGATACAAAGTAGTTACAAACCCACAATGGCAACAGTGTACAAGCAAAAAATATAGAACAGAAGTTATGATGCTCTGATACTAGCGTCGCAAAAAAATATCCTTGCCGTCCGCTACTTAAAATGCATAATACCTTGGCAGTGCAGATAAATTTCAAAGCCTCTTTTGCTAGTAGATGGGTAGTGTTTTTGGAGTTCCAATCAGTTAAACAATTATCAGAACAACAATCTTCTCCAGCCATATATGAAAATGTTCATCACCAGGTCCAAAAGCTGTTGAAACCCTTTAAGCAAACCAGAATTGTGCACTTGAAAAAGAAATACTTTTGTTTAATGTGTCTTAGAGTCAGGAATTTAGCGTACATGAACTAAGTTAAGGTTTCCTTTCAAAGCATAATAAAGGTGGTAAAGTCTATAACACAATACAATATCAAACACAACACATGCAGATTCTTATTTTGAGAGCAGCATGAGCATCCTTCATCATAAATAAAGTCTTTCAAGATGTCACACTTAGAAAATCTGTTTGGTGATGAAGTGGTAGAGATTTTTTTTTTTTTTTTTTTTTTCTCATCATGTTAAATCTTTTTACATTGAGGCATGTAAAGACAACAAAAGAAGCCTCTCACCAATATTTGGTGGCACATTGTTTCTCAAAATCTTTCTCTATCCTACTCTTCTACCGGGTATACATTATCCATTAGGCTGCTATTCATCTAATTAGGTACATTCACTAATGTACAATGTTCATTGATGCTCCTATCTTGCGGAAGATTACTAGGAATGCAAGTAATAAGAAGAAGATTCGATATCCCAACAAATGTCTCCACGCTCAATGCCTCCACAGGCTGTAAGAACTGTTGCAAGGATATAATCATCCACCACAAAACCTTCAGCTTGCATTCTATGCATGAGCTTCAGAGCCTCTCCACCATGTCCATTCCTTGCATAAGCCAAGACCATGGATTTCCAAGAAACCAAGTTCCTCTCTGGCATTTTGTCGAAAACTTGAAAAGCATCAGCAACATATCCACATTTTGAATACATGTATATTAAAGCACTATTTACAAATACATTAGACAAGGCAGGGTTCTTGCTTGCATAGGAATGAATTAATTTTCCTTGCATTGGAGCTTCTAGTTTGGCACACGCTTTCAGAGCGGATGAGTAAGTATAGGAATTAGGAAACACACCTTCCTCCATCATTTCTTGCAAAAATTCTAGAGCCTCTTGTTCAAGTCCAAGTTTGGCACACCCAGAGATAATGGCAGTCCATGAAACAACATCCCTAAAACGCATATGTTGGAGCACCTTGAAAGCATGAGAGTATTCTTTACATTTGCAATAGAACCACACCAAAGTGCTTTCTATGTATATGTTAGAATGAATAATAGTCTTGATTATATGTGCATGAACTTCTCTTCCAATTAGCAAAGACTTAATTGTGCCACAAGCCATCATGACACTCAAAATTGTAAATTTATTAACATGTATTTTTTTCTTCTTCATTAATCGAAAGAAGCTTATGGCCTCTTCCCCAAACCCATTTCGAGCATATCCTGATATAATGGATGTCCAAGTAGCTGTATTTCTACCCCTCATTCTGTCAAACACTTCTTTAGAATTCACCATCATCCCACATTTTGCATACATATCAACTAGGGAAGTTCCTACAAAAACATCACTCTTGCAGATTTTCTTTATTATTGCACCATGAAGCTGGGTCCCAAATTTCAAAGCTTTATTCTCTCCACATGCCTTTAGTGCACCACACACAGTATATTCATTGGGAGAGAACCCATGACCAAGCATTTGTGACAATATCAACATAGCTTCATGTCCAAGCCCTTGCTGGGAACAAGCAGTAATCATAGTTGTCCAACATACCACATCTCTCTGTGTCATACGATCAAATGTTCGAAATGCACTTGATATATTGCTACATTTTGCATAAAAATGAATAACTGCATTATCAACAATTAAATTCCTCCAGCTGCTTTTCAAAATATGAGCATGGATTTGTTTCCCCAGATCTAAATCCACTCTTCTACTGCATAAATTCATGATACAGACAAACATCTTACTGTTTGCTGGAACCCCATATTTAACAGAATCTTGAAATAATTTAAAAGCTTCATCATCCAAGTTAAATTTTAAGTACCCATCAATAATAGCAGTCCATGTAACCGTATTCCTTCTTGGCATTCTATCAAACACTCTACGAGCCTGAGCTAGCTTGCCCAATCTCAAATAACTACAAATCAAATTATTATCAACATAAGTAACTGAATGTCGAAAACATTTCAAGACAATTGCATGTACTCTTCCTAACTCTTCCACATCGTAACACAATCGCAGCCAATGAGCAACTAATTTTGGATTGAAGCATTGACTTTTCTCAGCCAAATTCTCTATCCTCGAGCAGGAGGAATCCAGGGGAGAATTGATAATCTCTTGGAAGTTCAACCCCGCAGCATTTAGTACTTCAATGCTTTCAGAGGCAGCGTCATAGACTTTTACAGCATCCAAGCATGTGTTCTGAAGCTTTACCCAATCTTGTCACATAAACATAAGGGAGAAAAATGCCAGATTAATTGAAGAGGCAAGTTTTAACTACCCAGTTACATTGATTCATTTCTTAACATGTGGCAATTCTATATGATCTTTATACTGCAAGGACAAAAAAATTCTACGGCATATTATCACAGTTCAACCTAGGGTAAGCTAGACAAATTCTGGATGATCAATAGTTTTAAAAGAGGAATTTTTGGAGATGAGAATGAAAATGGAATATGATTATGTGAGTGAATGACTTTGATCTGATTATAAAATGCACCAACATCTAATTTTACTTATAGTAATGAAGTATGGAAAAGCTCTGAACAGGAGGACGTTATTCTGTTCAGTGGGTGACCAAATATTTAAAAGCTAAATATATTGTCATAAGTAACATTAACTCGGAATTCAAGGCATTTACCATTTTGTGCTTTGGGATTGTCATCATAAAATTCAGCAACTGTATGGAGATGCATAAAGAATTCTTCTGTGAAGTCTTTACGATTCCTGGAGACAATTTCATAAATTTCAGATGGATTCCCTTTGATCATTTCAATAAGTTCACTGTATCTCCGTAAATCTTCATCTATCTGCAGAAGAGGAGAATTCAATAAATTTGTGCATTGTAGCAGCCATAAACAACAAATTTAAAGGCATGGTAGAATCTTGAGATATACAAAGTTTCCCTACATCAATCACATTTTCTTTTTGTTCTAGGATACAACATCTTTCCCCTTTTATTATTTCATAAGCAATGTAGTAAACACTAACAGTACAGTTGTACTATCAAATACAGCTCCAAGTTTGTATGTTGCATTCAAGAAACTGAAAAAAAAAAGTTATTAAAAATGGGGGTGAATTTTAGACAGAAATGTGCTAGTTTGATTTTCATGAGTCACCAATACTATGACATTGAGTGATGAGTATAAAATTCAACAATAAATGGGTAAGCAACAGACCGCCTTAAGCTTCTTTCCAAGCCATAGCAGCTTGTTCTTCATCAGTGGATTGTCTTCAGTGTCTGCTCTATCCTTACAATGTCTAAAGAAATGGGGCCTAATATTGCTCCACTTCCTGTTGAAAACTAACAACCTTCTCCAATCAGTCTCGTCCATCATGAAAGCCTCAATTAGCTTGTCACAATTTCTAATGATCATTTGGTAGTTATCCAAGAACCTTGTGCCATCATAACCATCACTTCCACTAGGATCATCACAAGAGCAAGCACCACTAGAGGCACCAGTGCACGACAATCCTTCGCCAACACAATTCTGCATTGCCCTTGAGTCACAAGCAGTAGCTGGAAAGGAATGCTGCTGATCTGCTTGATCAATGAACAAGTTAGCATAACAGGAATTAGGATTCTCTTGTGTAACAGACCATAATGTTCAGGAGACACAAATACAACAATGTTGTAACGTAAACAAACCCATTAAGATAGATTACATGGCCCACTAGTTATATTAAAACTTCAGTTTAAATCTGTTTTTGTTCCCTTTACGTATTATAAATTTCTCATTTGGTCCCTCATTTTTAAAAAGTTATAATCTAATTAGGGACAGACCTACATTTTATAATGTGGGACACATCCCCCCACTTAATTTCAAAATCATTTAATAATATTAAAATGTTAAGTTTTATTTAAGTTCCAATATCCACAATTTTACCCTTATTATGCTATTTTTTATAGTACTATTTTTTCTTATGCAAAGTACGAGATACTGGGTGCATTTGAGAATAGTACTTAATTAAGTGCTTATTCACAAAATTATTTTTAAACAATGGTTTATACTTTAAATTTAACAATGAAACTTATTAGGATAAACTGAAAACAACTTATTTTGATAAACTATATAAGAAGTTTATTCAAACAAACTGAAAAACAGTTTCACAGACCCATTAAATCAACCCCCCCCCCTCCAACGGTCACCCAAAATTTCTGGGCCATCACTGAATCTAATTCTTCTAAAATTTTCCCCTTCCCTGCATTTAGTCTCCACTTGGTTTTGTTCATTAAGTGCATTGTGACACACGACACGGAAGAGAAACAAACAAGGCACTCCCTTGGTTGATTTTACCTTGCTAGCGCCAAGTAATATACATTATGCAATGCAGCAAAGGGCCAAAACTAGATAATGGAGTTGGAAAGTAGTGACTCACCTTTGGAAGTAAAAGTGATGGTTGGAAGGGGAAGTGAATTTGTAACGAAGAAGGAGAAGGGAGAAGCTAAATCTGCGGTGGGTTTAAGAGCGTGAAACCTTGGTGGAAGTGAAGCAGAAGATTGGAGAATTGCAGAGCGTAACTCCATGTGTTAAGTAAAATGGAGAGATTGAAAATATCTGAACTATTGATGAAGTCGCAGGTTTGGGTTGAGGTTGTCGGAAATATAGCAAAGAGGGTAAGGAGCTGAACTCAACTCTGGTCTCTCGGTGGGATAAGGAGGCCAGCCATGTCAGCGATGTCACGGCTACCATTTAATATCTTTTCCATAACTTGATATTTTTAAATCACTATCTCAATTCAGATATTGAGTATTCAATTAGTTTTTTTTTTTTCTCATGGAAGAGAATTTAATTAGTTAAACTACATTTATTTGTAAGCATGTAATAAATATCTTATTATTAAAAAAAATATTTTTTTATTCAAATTGAGGTTAGATTTGGAATTTTAATTTTTTTATATTAAAGTGATACTCTACTGTTAATATAGAAAGTGGAATTTAATTAAAATATTAAAATATACTAATAATGTAAAAAAAAAATTATTGCCTAATTATAAATTGTAACATTATTAAAAATTATTGAATTCTATTATAACTATTTTAAAAGTCATATCTATGATATTTTATTTTACATATTTTTATTAAAAATATTAAAAGTTAAAAAAATAGAATTAAAATACTATTTTAATAGTCTAAATATCTATAGAATCAAGACGAAAGAAAGAGTATAACGAAGGAGAAATAACCTCAATATAATTTGAGGAAAATAAAATTTTTAAGCCTTGATTAAATGGTTAGCAAGTTATTTTATTTTCTTAAAAGTATAACTAGACTTTAAATAGATAAATTTAAGTACATACTAAACTCTATCAAGCAAGTTAAATAAAGGATGAGAGGAGCTTTGAACATTAAGAATTAAGAACAAAGCATATCTCGAATCATTATTTATCCATAAAAGAATACTCATAACTCTGTAGTTAAAGGCGAGTAGAGAACTATATTTCTATGAAATTTAGCAATAAAATATCCTTTAACATCCCATATCAGATCACCATAAGCAATAGCACCATTTATTAAGGAGACAACACCATTTACATTAAGCTTCCATTGATTAGTTAGAGGAGCCATTTAGTAGGAACTTGATCATTCACTAACCTTGGTAAAGATGAAACATTACTAACAGCAACTAGACAAAAAATTCAAAATTAAACAAAATTTTCTAAACAAGTTTCATAGGCTAGACAAAAGAATTATTAAAAATAAAATTATTCATATCCTTTATAACCAAACAATAACTTTAAATAACCCATTATTGAGAGAAAACAAAGAAATTCCAAAAATCTGCCTAGCATAATAACAATATCTAATAACATGAATTATAGATTTAGAATTATCACTAGTACAAAGGGGAGAAGTTGTCATACCTCTATTGCATCTTTCTTTATTCATAAACAGTTTGCTATGGATAACTTTCCACAAGAACATCCTAATTTAAGAGGTTCTTTCTAATTTTAAACTAAATCAAATAACTTAGAAATATGAACAGACTAATTAACAAATTTATACAATAAACTATAAGTAAATTTGAGAAAAAATATTTAATTACTTTTCATATTCCAAAAGACTGAATCTTGCCCACCAGAATCGGAAGGAAGAGTAATTTTAGCAAGAAAACTATAAATCTAATCTAGAAGGACACTAGCCAACTTATTCCAATCCAAGACCTCATTAACAAAAATAAAGCAACATGTAGATTCAATTCCAAATCAAAAAGGGAATGTGCAACATAACTAAACAATTTACCAATATTAAGTATCTAATTATCATATCAGAATTTAATAGTTATGTCATTTATGACCCATCCTAATCCCTTAGCAAATAAAGATCAAATAAAAGATAGACTATTTTACACAAGAGAGACTCTTTGTCCATTTCTAACCTTAGAATTTTGTCCTAGTGTAAATTTATATTTATTATGCAAAACTTGAGCCCCAAGATCACGTGATGTAATTAACCTCCACCATGATTTCATCAAATATGCTCTTATTAAGCACGTGTAAGTCCTTAAAACTCAATCCACCCTTTGATTTAGGTTTACAAATTTTTGCCAACTAATGAGATAATACCTCTTTTCCCTTAGTGAATTCTAAATAAACTTCTTCCATAAGCTACTGATTTCATTAGGGATGGCAATGGGTAAAATACCCGATGGGCACCCGCAAAATTTACCCACAATGGGTAGGGTATTTACCCGCTATACGGGTACGGGTATGGGTGTGGGTAAAAACCCGCAAATTTTAATGGGGATGGGTGCGGGTATGGGTATCTAAGTACCCACCCCACCCGCATATATATATATATATATATATATATATATATATATATATATGCTTAAACTTTATTCAATTATGAATTGAATTTTTGTATTATTATATTACTTACGTGAAGTTATATAAGATTAATATAAAAATATATTTAATAATAAAGTAAACCAAAAAATTTATTTTGATTTATATTTTTAATAGAAAATTTATTTACTATTTTATATCATTTAATTAGGTTAACACAATTTAATTATTACATAGTTAATATGAGATTGACTTTTTTTTAAAATATTATTTATATATGACACACATAAAATATTTTTTACACAAATATTTTTGTTAATAAAATCATATTGATGTTTAAATCATAAAGTAAATGATAAATAATAAATATATTATAAATATTTTATAAATTTTACAATCACCTACTATTACCGTAAACTTATTATTTATTAATAATATTTAAATTTTATTTTTATATTTTAATTTAAAATAATATTTTTCTATGCAACATATGTATTACAAACACAATTATAATCTATTGAATCTAAATAATATTATTCTTACTATTTATTCACATTCAAAGAAGTTTTTGAAAAGATATAAATATAAAAAATTATTGTTAATTTTTTTAAGATAAAAAAGTATAATTTTTTTAATATACACGTATATTTCTTTATTATAAAATTTTATTGTAACTATTTATCTTTTATTCAATTTTTTTTAAATTTATATACATTATAAATATTTAATTCACTAAAATAATTTTTCAAAAATTTATATTTTTGATAAAATACTTTCGTATAGTATATGAGTTAAAAAATACTAGTATTAATATATATATATATATATATATTAATTATATTATATTATTTTAATTAAATCTATTATTTTTCTTACAATTTCAAATTCAAAAGTTAAAAAAAATATTTTATGTATCAACTTTCTATTGTTAGTATTGAACTTCTTTACTCTAACTCTATTCTCATTCTCAATGTCTGTCTCACTAAAACTTAATAACTATGAAATATTATTCATTAGAGTTAGTTGTTAATGCCGTCACAAGAGGTTACTAAGTGATCCCACACGAAAGGACAACCATTGTACAGATCTATTTCGTTGTTGTTCTGACATTACCAATCAATCAAATCTCACACAAGATAGGATTATCACTGACAAATAACTTGTGTGTTTAGTTTTACTTATTGTTTCTAAGAATTTTAGTTTAGAAAATTATTATATTAAGATACATTTAACATTTATGATCTTTGAATATTTGTTTTTTATCTATATTTGTACCTTATTCGACAACTACATATTGAATTTTTGTATTATTATGCTACTTATGTGAAATTATATAAATATATTTTTCTTTATAAATATTTTTTTTTCAAACAAACGCGGGTAATGGGTACAAGACGAGTATGCGGGTACCCAGAGGGTACGGGTACGGGGATTAATGTTCATACCCACGCAGGTATGGGTCTGGGTACGGGTATTTTTTTAAAACGCGGGTATGGGGATGGGTACTGTAGTACCTTACCCATACCCTACCCATTGCCATCCCTAGATTTCATTACAAAGAAAAATAAGAAACAACTAGAATTGCATAATATAAAAATAAATATTCATAAGACATGATTGGATAAGGATAACTCTTTTATATAAGGAAAAGGAATTCATTTTTTAAAAAGAAAGTTTTTTGCTAATTTTTATTTAGTTAATCATTAAACTAATAATATATCAAAATTGAATTTTAAAAATATTATGATAATTAACATTATTACTAAAATTAATATTATTAATAGTGTTACTATAAATAATTTAATTACACTGTTATTATAATTTACTTGATTGACTGTACATTTATTTATATTTTTTTAAAAATTTATTGTATTTAATTATATTTTTTATATTTCATTCTAAGTTATATAGATCACATATATTGAAAGTAGCACTCACTCTATACTCATAGGGTAAGTTTAGCTTATATGCATTTGTAAACTAATAATATATCAAAATTAAATTTTAAAAATATTATGATAATTAACATTGTTACTAAAATTAATATTATTAATAGTGTTACTATAAATAATTTAATTAGCACTGTTATTATAATTTACTTGATTAACTGTACATTTATTTATCCTTTTACAAAAAAAAAAATTGTATTTAATTATATTTTTTATATTTCATTCTAAGTTATATAAATCACATATATTGAAAGTTGTACTCACTCTTTACTCATTGGGTAAGTCTAGCTTATATGCATTATTATTGATCTTTTCTACTATTTGAAATGGACTCACCTCTAAGACTTAATTTGGACTTTCTTTGAGAGGGAAACATTTCTTTTTTGAATTGAAGTTAAACCAGATTTCCTATGTCTAAGAATACTTCATGTCTTCCCTTGTTAGCTAACTAGCATAGCGCTCATTTTTTTTAATTATTTGGGCTCTAACCCTCTCATATATGCTGTTTACAAAGCTTGTTATATATATATATATATATATATATATATATATATATATATGTGTGTGTGTGTGTGTATAGAGTTGTCAAATAATTTAAATAATAAAGTTATTTAATAATATATTTTTTATATTCTTAATTCTGTTATTATTAAATTAATATGTTATGTTATAATTTTTTTATTTGTAATTATAATAAATAAAAATTATATTATATTAAAAATTAAAAATATTTATACACGATTACATTTTTTAAAATAATAAATTATCATATTCGTTACATTTAAACAAGTTAAAGAGTGGTTAAGTCTTTAAACAGGAACAAGACGCAATCAAAATTAAACGAAATACAATTAAAAAATGAAATAATAATATTATATTAATATTTTTATTATTATTAATATTTAATTATTTAATTGTTTAACTATTATATTAATATATTATGTTTAATTTTTTTATAATAAATAAAAATTATTTAAATATG